TCATTGGGGAAAGAAGAATTCCCCCACAACTTTTACCAAGCACTTCTGGAGGAGTGGTGTTGAATCCAGATTTTTCTCATTGGGTGAATCAGGACCAATTGCTAATGTCATGGCTCCTTACCTCTTTATCTGAAAATATCCTTATTGGGACAATTGGATCCTACACTTCGAAGGAGGTATGGGACTATGCTGAAGCAAACTTTGCTAGTCAAAATTCAGCCAAGATAATGCAGTATAAACTGCAACTTCAAACCTTGAAGAAGGGAAATTCCAGCATGAGAGACTACCTCAACAAGCGAAAACTTGCTGTGATATTTTGTCAGCAGCTGGTCAAAAGGTTGATGAAATGGAACATATCATGCACATCCTTTCAGGGCCAATTGTAACACCCCGACTTTTTAATACTATCAGAGTACGCGATTTTTTCGCAAATTTTCTGAATAAATAAATAAAACATTAATTTTTGCAAAAACTGATTCGGAATGCTACCGTGAAAAACTTGATTTTTCTGAAAACCGTTAAAATTTTAAACTGAGAAATAAAAACGGTTGTAATGTCTTATCCGACTCATGTCGGAACAAAAACTGAAAATAAGTACTGAAAGTTTTAGCGGAAATAACTGCGTGGCAAAACGTATACACATATATTCACAAATATCCTGAACTGCCCGCCAACTCACTCCTCGTCTCCGACCCTGCGACCTGAAAAATATGAAATGTGTGGGGGCGTGAGCACTAAAACACTTGTGCTCCGCAAAAACTCATACTAATGTAAACATTGTAAATAATAACAATATCATGATCTCAACATATATAACTGAACTGAAACTGAAACTGATATCTGATACCGGTCTGATCTCGCGACATAAGTCACGTAACTGATAACTGAATATCTGTCGGCATAAACTAATACCGAAATCTGCCAGCACAAACTAATACCGGACCATGTTCACACTCTAGTGGGTAGATTAGGCCACTAGAACCCAGAATGGACCGGCGACCATTCCGAGTGGATACTGAATATACATACCTCGAACATGGTAGCGTAATTATAAACAATGTAGTACTTAGTCTGAGTCCCCACCTGAACTACTGAAACTGAACGGTATTGCTGATGCCTGATCAAACTGAAATATAATATAAACAATTACTATTGACTATGCTCAGATTGATAATTTAACTGTTTAATTATGTTAAGATGCTCTACTGAACCTGACATGACATTCGGACTTAATCGGTATAACTGAAACCGGTTAAGTACGAAACTGAACTGACATAAATTAACTGAGCTGAACTGAACCCGGAATTTTAACTGAAAATGACACTGAAATTGAGAACCGGGGCTGAAACTGACAATTACTGACTGAACCGGTCCAGCCGGTCTGAACCGGTCTGGACCGGACTGCCGGTCCGCTGAACCGGGCAGTCGGGCGCTGGCTCGGCCGGCGGCCTGC